TAAAAATAAAAATAAAAACAGAGAGAGAAGGACAGAGAGAGAGAGAAACAGAGACAGGGAGTGACCTCTAGAAGGAAGTGGATTTTAATCTGGATCTGTGGAAAGAGAAGAGGAAAAGGCCCCCTTGGGAGAGAAATGGACATAGGGAGAGGTCAGGACTGAAACACAGAGGTGAGGATGGAACCGAGTTCAGTTTGGCTGTCCCCCAAGGATCGTGAGGGGCAGAGAGGGCCGCAGGTTGAGGGAAGGCTGGGACGAGAGCATGGCGTAGGAAGGGTAGAAGACGCTCAGACCAAGGCCTTTTCCCTGGTGGGAAGGGCAGGAGCCTGGGAGCCGCTGAGCTGCGGGAGGGCAGTGCGTGCTGGCCGCAGTCACTCGGTGGGTGAGCTGGGGGTCTGTGAAGCGTTTTTCTCTCCTGACTCTCTTCCCTGAAAAGATCCCCAACCCCTTCACTTTCCACTGGGTTGTGTGTGTGTGAGTGTATGTGTGTGTGTATACCACACCCCTACAACCACTATCACTTTACCTCTGCAAACACGGGCACAAGGGCCTTCCCAAAGGGTGGCTTTTGCTTGGGAAAGGTGTGGACTGTGTGGGCAGCGGGGACAGGTACCGAAGGAGGCCACTGTCACCGCTGTGGGCTCAGTCAGATGTGGCCGCAGTGTTGGGCAGGAGGGAAGCCCAGGGCTCCACACACGGGCACCTCTGAGCGTCAGCGGCAACAAGGCCGGGCTGCCTGTGTCTTGGGCCAGGGCAAGGCTGGTGCCACCTTTCGAGGCCTCCGTGCTTGGTACCGAGGGGCAGCTGACCTCATCCCACCTTCCCGGCGATTCCGACGGGAACCACTGGCGTTACACTGAGGAGGAATTTCCCAGCTCTTTGCAGATCCCTCTCTTGGCCAGGGTTACCAGGCCGGCCCCGGGGCCGCACAGCCCATTCTCTTTCTGGGCCTGCAGGGAAAATAGCGTTCTGCAGAGGGAGGAGAATGACCCCTTGTTCCTTTGGGGTTGGGTGCTGACCCTTTTTCTCTGGCAGCCGTTTCAGAGTGAGATCTTGGATCTCTCCCTCCGCCCCGCAGAGACGGAGTGCCAGTCCAAGGAGCTGGGAACGATGGCAGAAAAGGGGCTCATGACCCTTCCTGCCTCTCCGCCTCACCCTCGTTCTCCAGGGACAGGCAGAAAGGGCTCTTCCGAGCCGGGCTGGCAGCCGGGCCGCATTTGTGGTAGGTGGTGTTTATGTGAACGCACACATGTTTATGTGAGATTGCCAGCCGGTTATTTATGAGCCTCTCGGCCTTCCCCCAATAAAAGCTGTTCTCTCAATGTTCTGACAGGCCCTGCATCTGCAACCAATGTGTTACTTGCTCGGCTAATGCAGTCCACTTGTGTTTATTTTTGCACAAAAGCAATTTATCCAGGCACTCTGAAAAAAAAAAAAAAAAAAGGCCCTGTCAGGAGCCTTCTTGGGAGTGGTGTGTTTTTCCTCAAAAGAAGATCCAAGTGGCTGTTGGGGCGGGTTAGGCCACTAGGCCGAGCACCTGGGGTCCAGGGTGTGAGGGAGCAGGCAGGGGGATATGCGGATGTGTGTCTGTTGGTCTGTCTGGGATGCTGGGGTCTGAGAGTTTGCCTCTGAATCTGAGTTCTGCACAGGGGTATTGGGTGATTTTAAAAAGATGGGGGTGGGACTGGTGCTAACTTTACCTTCCTTCGGGTCGCCATAAATCAAAGTTGGGAAGGTGGGTTATTGGCCGTTAAAGGGTTGGAGGAGGAAGCCCGAGGGAGGAGGAAGATGGTGATGGCGGAGGTTAAAATGGAGGACGCTTGACTTTGTGGCGGAAGGAGCATTAGCTGAGGAGTGCCGAGGCCCATCCCTGGTGACCTTTGGAGGCAGAGTGCCTGGGCTGCTCCCCTCTGCCTTGTGACTGGTCATTTCTGCTCTGTTTTCCGTCGGAACCAGCAGCCAGCCCTGGTGGGGGAGAGGGTGCTCCGTGGGCCTGTCTGGGGCAGTAGGGAAGGGGAAGTCATCTCCATCTGTACAACT